CGTACGGCAGTATTCTCCACCACTTGTACACTACCATTTGGACACCATTCCTTGTGGAACGCTGCTGGATAGTGCTCATTTAATTGTACTAGATGGTGCACGGTATGCGCTATTTGGTGTGTGGCAGTTGTGGTAGTTTGTTATCCGGTCAGATGACGCGTTTCCCTATAATGGCTGTGCTCTAAGTGTCGCGTAACCCACGTGTACCTACCTCTGAGGGGGCGAATGGCAGTCGCTGCAAGATCTGTATATTGACTGATTTTCCAGCAGACGGATATCAAGATGAAGGCAGCTAGGCTGCAGCAAATCTAATGCTTATCTAAAGAGCCTCATCAACTGGGCATTTGCAATGAAGTATGCCATTTTGCAGCATCCTTTAATGTCAGCGTTTCCACACCCAGTTTGATACTACTACCTTGTGAAATCACAAATTTCCATGTAGTTTCTGCAATCAATTAAGCGCTATCATAACGAGTATTGCATGCACTGCGCTGTTTCATTCACAGAGAAGGCCATATACTTTACTCGGCATTCCCAACCTCGCAGAGATGACAACTTGTTGAGCCTTGCCACATATCGGTGTCCCATATAACTCGGCAGTACGAAAGTATTTTGCGTAATTATGATTTTCCCTTCTGTCGTTGAGAACCAAAATCTCCACTGTTTCTCATGGAAGTGAAATTATTATTGCTTTAGTGCTTAGAATTGTAAACACATACTTCCTCTGTCCGGAATCCAATGCCATTTCGAATACGCCAATTTGCATCGTGACTAAGAAGCCGAATCTCAAGACAATGACAAAGTCAGAAAACCAAATCTGGAACCCTAGATGTAAACTTTTCACTAAACTCCGTCCTCTTTACATAGTGAACCTCAAAATGTGCTCCTCTTGGCAGAAGTCGACATTTAACATTCTCTGATGATGGCATGATTTCTGCTTCACTGCGTTGCCTGCGTCTGAGCAGCCCTGCGGCTCGAGGCGACCACCGCCACAATGATTTATAGTATCTTTGATTGTTATACCCTCCCAGCACAGTGAGACCGCAGGGAGGCGCCCATCTCTGGGAAGCTTTCATTGGATGGTTCGGCGAGACCACGAAATTTTTGCATCTCAGCCTAGTCGACTGGGCTCAACATACTACCATTGCCTCTACACTCGTTCGCATGCTTCAAGGATTTGAAGACATTATCTCACTAATGGGTAACACGAAAGGCGGCATTCAATCACATACAGAGAAAGTGCATAAGAGCCCGACGCAATTGAGAATGCAGAATTTCCGAAATTGCAACCCTAACTCTGCACGTGCTTTCCATACAGTTTCTCATGTACCCGGCCCGAAGCCCAGCTGTGGTGTGGAATGTAAATTCACATACTTGGGGTAAAGCAAGGGCAACTTTAAGTGCCTCTCATATGGTTGCTAGTAAATATCATACGCGAATGTGCACAGAATTTGATGTCTAACAAATTAACGATAACACAATACAGGCAGTACCATGGATTTTCCGTTTAAAAACCTCTGGTTCTTCATGAGCGCGTGAACTAATTTTTCGCATTCCGCGCAAATTTGAAATTACAAGTCCGTTTTTGAGCAAACAGCATTTCGAAAATTGGTAGAGCTGACCTGCAGCACGGGAAGAAAGATTGCAAGGACATAAATGCGGCAACGCCAGTGCAGCGGTGTTGGATAAACGTAAGACATGGCCAGAAGCGCAGCTATTTGTATATTGCGAAATCTCGAGGCTCTTGTCTCATCTCCTCTGCTGAATGTGCACGCATTCCGAAAATACGTCTAAATACGGTTCTCTGTTCACGTTCCTGAGAGGAAGAGAAATGCGAACGCGTATACGCATCCGGTGTCACGTAAATCGCGCTGCCAAAATAATGACGGAACCTCCATGGTCCGTGCGCACAAACGCCCCGCGCGTTGGTTCTCTTCGCCAAACACACATCCACGCACGTGGCAATCCATAGCAGCGAATGGCCAAGGGAAGTGGGGCATGGGTATGTCAAAGGCGCCATGTTCTAGGATGGTGACCAATGCTAAATGCACTGCAATGGACTTACAAATACGAAAATTGCTCCCCCGTTGCGAACGGCGGTGTTGCCCTCGTAGACGCATGCATTGCACCGCACGGATGAAGAACTCTGTTTCAAAACGACATGAGCTTTGGTCACTCCTGACAGGAATCACAGCGGAATGCAAGTGGAAAAATACGGTATGCCCAGGCTACACCATGTTCAGCAAGTGATGCATGACTTTTACTCCAAGCACATGGTGTGGGGTACAGGATACTTTGCATTGGGAAAGAGCGACCCTGGGCGCTGTTATTATGTCGCTGCTGTCTGCAACCATATGCTGTCAATTATCTACAGCACAATCGCTTACCACTGAGGTGGCGCTGCTCGAGGCGTGCAATCGGGCATGCTCATTTCTTTTCTACTGGTTGCTCAGGTCGCGCATGGCACGGCGCAATAAAGTTCTACCAATTTGCTATGCAGCAGATGGCGCTCTGCTCATGTATATATTACCACGCATTGGACGTGCTCCGTAACCTCAGGAAATATTTGGCATCCGTGTGGAGGGAAGCCAGTGGCAGTTAGTGCCAGAACTGCGGAACTTGTCAATTTCCATATGTAAGAGAGCAAAGATGTGCTGGCAAATCCACAACAGCCTACATTGGTAGTGTGCTCCACTGCTGGACCGTCCCCTAAAGAAATGCCTTTTCTGTTCGAAACTAAATGAAAATTTGTCGACTTACCGCTTGTGTTTTCACATATCTTTTATTTGGAAATCTACTTGTATCTATAAATACTTGCTTAGTTGATGCTGGCAAAACCAATTGGTAGAAAATAAGAACCACGCAAATGGTAGTCTCTTGAAACCCAGCGAGTCAGACCCAAAATTTGAGCATCACCATCTCATTGCAGATGCCACCAAATCCCGGTGTAACGTGTCCAAGAAAGACTTGGGCACGAGCGATACCCCTTGCAGTGGCATGAGCTGTACTAGAAGGGTAGGTCCTCTAGGTTCTCAGCTTCTAGCTGCTCGCCATGGCCTTGAGAGGTTTCAAGTTCGTCGCAAGGTCATACGGATTCAAGTACTGACACGCGACCTTGCTTGCCCCTTTTGATAAATGTCGAGGGCATTTACCAAACCCCGGAAGGTGCCATGATTCAATTTGAATGTAAAATAAACACGTGTACGATACAAGCGCAACTCTCGAGTGACCGCTCCAGCTTATTTGGCAGAAGAAACAAAACCGTTTGCAACCACAGTGCGTTCGATCCATTTAGTCTCACGACAAGTCGACGATCCACACGCCGTCCTGCGTGGACAGAACAGCTCCTCCCAAAGGCGCTGTATTGCGTGCAAATGTGGAGTTGTCGATAATTTCAGTTATCTCAGTACGTCGGCTGCAACGTCAGCAACGGTTCCATGGTTGAAGAAGTCGGAGCGTTCTTCAACATCGCAATGCAAGTTTCCATCTTCCAACAGTGGACGGGCGTTCGTGTCTGATTGAAAAATTGTTGCAATTTCATTTGCAATGGACAGTAGACCACGGCCGCGACGCCCTTCAGGCTAGTGGTGGGCGTGGTGGTCATGTAGAACAGGGGCGACAGTAGACGCGTTCTGGACTGCTAAAAATCGCGGCAACTTGTGGCGCATAACGCGAGATCAATCACCCTATGTGGATAGTCCTTTACCCAGTAGCAATGTCGGGACATGACTTCTGGACTCTACTGCTGCTGCGAGGCAGCGTCAAAAGGTTCCCAAATCTTGCCGAGAAGAAGAAAAATATGCCTGGCGCTCCAACAACGGAATGGATGATTAGGAAATGTCTCTGGGATGGGAAGGTCAAATTGACCATTTTAAGGAAGCTGAAGTAACTGGAAGCAAAACGATGCATTTTTGAAGAGGAATTTCGCTAAAAGCAAAATAGATTTTGCATGAAATGTGGATTACCTTTGCGGAGGTTTGAAGTTGCTGTGGAGCTTAAGCCAAGTCATGCACAAAATTGCAATTGAGACACTATTCACGAGTAGCGAATTCACAAATTCAAATGCTTATGTGAATTCACGTTAACATGGACTGAGCAATGCTGTGATGTAATCTTGAATTGGAACCTTACACAGAATTCAGGAATGATGTTAAATCATCCAGCACCTTGCATGCAAGGGTTTCTTCTACTCGTTGCAAACGCGTGCATTATAGATCAGTGCGTCCAGAAATCTTCATAACTGGTGCTGTAAAATCGCCCTCAAAGATCAACAGACAAAGGCAAACCCACTCGCGGAGAAAAAGCACTGTTCTACATGAGGTACCACGGCTTTTGCTGCAACAGCCTGGCTTTTCTGTGTGCAGTGTCAAAAGCATCGCAAAAAAGCGGAAAACTGCACAGGGCTTGAAGCGAAGTGTGCATAATATAGACCAAGCAAGGGCAACTTCCAAAGCCTTGTGGGAGCTGAGTGCCAACTTGTTTTCAGATCTGGTAGCCGCGAGCTACCAGCCAATCTTTCGGATTACCACTTCACTCAGAGCTCAGGCGTCAAGTTTGAAACCAACCTCGCCTTGCAAACAGATAGAAAATTATTGGGGGTTGGGTAGTAAGATTGCACAGGACAACAAATACCGCAATGCAAGTGGGTTGGCAACTGATGGATGCCAGACAGCCTAGCACAAGAGTGAGTACAAGAATGGTTATCTGAGAATGCTCAATCTTCTTGTGCTATCTTTACTGCTATGCATACACATGAAAAGTGATCATGCTTCTCGGTATGCTTCCAAGAACAAGCGCGTGTGATGCGCCTGGGTCGAGCACATTGGCTGCCTTGATACACAGTAAAAGCTTGAGTATCCATGGCGCGCACATCCTTAAATGTCAATTTGCTGTTTAATAGAAACACGGTCACAATGCTGCGATCCAAAACGACAAACAATCAAGAGATAGGGAATGGACATGGCGATATGGGCTTCTATTCAGGCTGCAGTCAAAGCTGGTTAGAATGAGGATGCACTCACAAACGCGAGAATTGCTCCCCCTTGGCTTGCGGCAGTGTTGTCCTCATAGGTGCACGCATCAGACTGCATGGATGAAAACGCCTGTTTGAAACAAAAGAAACGATAAAGGTCATCCAGTAAGTGAATGTCATTGCAGCGCGAGTGTGAGCCCTGTGCAAAAAAAAATCACATCATTCCTAGCACAGTCTGAGAACGCTGTTCAAAGCATGTGATATTATGTACAAAAATTCCGCATTTAGATGGAGTAAACCCCAACGCAAGTGTAATAACTCTTTGCGAAGATTCAACCGTCCGATTTGGCGATCTGGATGTTATCAAACTGCCAATTCTCAATAATGCAGTTGCTCGCATTTTTTGGGGATGCTGCGGCCAGGGCGTACTCGCCTGCCTTGGATTGATTGCGCGTTCCACAACTCGGAAGGCTCTCAGCAACTCAACAATTGCGCAGTGCAGCCGACAGCGCACTGATCATTCTGAATCTCCCATTTATAGAATATGTTCAACACTTTCAGTAAAATTTCTGCTTCCCTCTGGAAGAGAAAGTAATGGTTGCTTGTGCCAGATCCGTAATTCTTCCCATTTCTCACTTTTAAAACCGCAATCGTGGGCAGGAAAATCCAAAAATGCCTGGATTGGCAGTGCGCTCTACCAGTAAATAGCCTTTCGTAAAGAAATAGAACCCCTCGCAATGTTGCTGCGTTGACTGCAGCATTTGCTTTCACGACAGAGTGGGCATTCGAACACCATCCTACCTCGATATAGGCAGCACCTCCATTGCTTGCTCCATTGTGCACAAGTGTGCAATTGGCGATTGTTGCAGTGGACCCCGTCTGTTGGACACGTGCATACGAAATCAATAATTGCTCAACAGCGGGAAATTCTGAACTTCCCTCAATAACTCACATGCAGATGTGCATGTCCATTAGTAGAATGGGTACCAGCTACCTCTGATTTTGTTCCCATTAAGTGTGTAGCAAGCAGCGAACGAAACGATAGACCTACAGATCGCGGACTGGATAGAGACGTTACTTGAAAAACAAAGAGACTAAGAAGTGTTTTCCGAGTGGATCAACGTGCAGGTGTTAAAACCTGACGTCCCTCACCCGATGTATTTTCGCTTTTCCATGTTTGCGCCACAAGATGGAGTCATTTATAATCCCATTGTCATTGATGCCGCAGCGTTCGTTATGTGGGGTCAAGATGAAGATTTGGATGACTTTGTTGAGGAAGCATTGTTTCATACGACGGATGCCGTCTTTCGTCACAACAGCTTTTTCTTATGCACAATTATTACATCATCCCGGAAGAACGATAATCTTCAACTGGTGCGAACTATGCACGCCTGCCTTTTGGGGAAAGCATGAGCAGTTTTGCTTCTCAAATGGCAATTTTTTTTGTTTGCCGTCAGCTCATTGGCAAATCTTGTGATTCCGATTTCTTCTGGGATTGAGAAGCCTTCCCTGTGACAAGTGCTTTTCCTAGTAGAAAGGAACTTCTTTGGGGCGCAGGGCGCAAAATTAGGCATTACAGAAGCACCGCAATACAAGAGTAGCAGCGCTTGACAAATACTTCTTCCGTCTGGAATTCATTGTCCGCTACTTGGACAATCACTTTTGTCAATTAAACTAATTTCAGAGTAACAATAAAGACCAAAATCGAAAATATCGGGTTTCAAACCCTTGGCAAACATTTTTAGAGAAAAAATGTTCAGATCTATCACCTCTGGAGCCTTCAAAATTGATCAAGGCTCGGCTGAAAACCTACAATCAGATTCGGTGTTCGTTGGAGACCTGCGCGGTTCTGTGTCGCTCCCATCCCAAACGCGCCAAACCAAAGTCGATGCTGCCATCGCGACGAAGGGCAGTGTGCCTCTCATGATACAGCACTTAAAAAACGCGCTCAGCCATATTTGGATCCCCGACGAAGAAGCCCATTACCCATGGCAGGGATCGCAGCCATCCAGGAACTCCGATGTGCAGATTTGCTACAAGCAAAAAATGCCAACACCAAGGGCCCCAAGCTGAAGCTCTGTGCCGGCCACCACTTCCAAGCTCCATTGCAGCTTTGCTTTGAGGATGTGCCTCGATTCACGCTCGAATCGATGCTTTCGTGTGTGGTTGGGCCCACACTCCACAAGTTGCCACTAGTGGCCAAAATTTTCCACTCGATCTTCAATGCTACGCAATATAATCTCTGCATCTGAAAGGGGCGTGAATTCATCCCTCTGGCTATTCCCATTGTGGCCCGCCCTTTCAATTGTCGAGGCAAGGTGGACTTCGCCATCATCCCATGGACGCCATTCCCCTAATGATGCACCACTGATTAGGGTGATGCCCCTGGTGTTCCTTTGCACGTCTTTGAAGAGCTCGCGGGGCTTTTCCCAGTGTTCCTCAGAGCATCGATGGAGGTTCAAAAGTCTGGGCCGGAAATGCATATCCGAATAGACAAATCAATCTCGGAATGCCGCTGCGATGCCACAGTGACTTCAACAATCAAACCCTCTACATGTTTTCTACAGGTTTGCTCCTTTGTAGGGGTCTCCCCGAGCTTCTATCCAAACGGGGTGCATAGAGCTGCAAGGGTGGCCGTGTTTTGCCGTTGCGAAGGCGTGCTCCTCGCCATCATGCAAAACGGCCATTTGGTCATTTCCTTTAAAAACGGGTGGTTTGATGGCTGGAGGACCCTCGCCACAAAATGCTGCCAATCCCTAATGCTCAGCGCATAGATTTCAAATTCTGGCCCAAGTATACTCCCCAAACATAAGTTTCACTTTGGGAGAAATTTCGTTAGAAACAGAAATCTCCATGAAAGACAAGTAGAGAGCCAAAGTCATAGAGGTCAATTAATTCAGGATGGAGGAGGCATCAGGACACCCAGCGCGATTGGGAGTGCAACAATACCTATGTTGAGAAAACTGGCGATTCTGGCGATATAGGCAATTCTGTGTGCATACATGTTCAGAAGTGCATTGCTTCGACGCGCTTGAGGGAAAAGGGAAACACGTGCCCAAAGGCACGTGGAAGCCGCCCATGTTATGTACCCAGGATCATGTGATTGGACTACCACGATAAATGACAGCTGTGGTCCCGTGGAGCCCATACACAGTTGCGCATCAATTCGATGTTTACAGAAACACAGCCGCACATCTTGTTATCCAACACAGCAATGAAGAGGGAGGCAGAGTGAATGTGGAAAGATGCAATCCCTGCTCAGAACGCAACCGGTGCTGATTGGAGATGCACTCACAAACACGTCGATTGCTCCCCCGTTGTCTGTGGCAGTGTTGTTCTCGTAGGTGCACGCGTCGCACCGCAGGGACGAAGATCTCTGTTTCAAAACAAAGTGAAAGGCCTTTGTTCCAAAAATTGAGAGAAAAGTCAAGACATACCATAGTATGGGCGCTCGCTATCTGATATTATCAGAAAGGCTGCTATGAATTTGCCTCGCGCATGCGACAATATATACACAAAACTCTCAATTAGCCAAAAAGCAATTCTGAAAGCAAACGCGTTCTGGTTCCATGAAGATCTAAGCATCTGATTTTGCTGTCCACAAGATTAGCTTATCAATTTTCAAGAACGCTGCCACTATTAAGGCGACATTGGTTGTGGGTGTAGCTCAGACATGCACACGTATTTTAATCGGTTGCGCAAGTCGCGCACCACATGACACACGGCAACGTGGACAAAACTGTCATGAAGAAAGTTGGCAAACGTATCATTCGTGTCTTTGCCTCCGTGGATTAGATGTGTTGCGTATACTTCAGTGAGCCATTTGCCTCTGCCTGGAAGGCAATCAATGGCAGTTGGTACCAGATCTGTGGCTATACTCAATACCCACTCACACAACGTCAAACATTATTAGGCAATACTACAACCACCTGCATTTGCAGTGCGCTGCTTTGGCAGGTTTTCAACTCAAAAATTAGGATTGCTTGCAGCCTGGCAGTGCTCATTTCTGCATTTACCACAGAAAATGCCACAGAAAGTTTATCCAGACGGCTTCTTACCAGGACTAAAACAGCGCCTCCGTTGGTTGCTGCGTTGCGTGCAAAAGTGGAGCTGACCACAGTCGCGGTGGACTGGCCCTGTTGAATACGCGCATGCAGATTCAACAGCATATCATTAATGGAACAATTCTTCGGCAAGTGATTTGCGACATAGGAAGCAGCACTGCGCATGGCAAAAGGAACATTAATGCAAGGGATAGCGCTTGATAAATACCAGGCAGCCCAACACAAGAAAGAATGCAACAATTGCCATACTGAGCAAGCTGATATTTTGTGATGTCAGCACTGCTGTGAAATTATGCGTCCAGGACACTGGTTGTCCCTGTTCATGTGCCTGAGGGCAAGGGGAAAACAAGCACACGATGTGCACCCAGTGTCATGTGAATGGACTGCCAAAGTAGACAATAATTTCAGCCTCCTGGGCACGCACACCGTTGCATGTCAATTTGTTGCTTCGGCCATAAACCTTGCAATCCAAGAAAAAGATTAAGAGTCGAATATGGAACAGGTGAAATTCTGTTGAGATTTCACTGGATGCTCGTTGTACTAGCGATGCACTCACATGTGCAACAATTGCTCCCCCTTGGCTCTTGGCAGTGTTGTTCTCGTAGATGCACATATCGGACTGCATGGATGAAGATCTCTGAAACAAAACAAGAAAATGTCAGCCAAGGAAATGAATGCTAGCGCAGTGCAAGCTAGAGGGTGGCACTGCGTTTCAGATGCCGTCAGGGGCCATTCACCCCAGATTTCAAAACTTTTGCCTGTTTAGCGGCATTATTTGTGTAAATAGGCATTGTTAGTCATTTTTGCTGTGCGAGCTTTTCCTTGGTGCCGTCTGACGCCATTTAGACCAAGCTTTTGCCATTATTTGCCGTTTCCACCAGAGATTTGCCATCAGATGCTGCTACTTGGGGAGCAGTGCTGCCACTTGTTGGGGGCGACAGCAGACATATCCTCGCTCAACGCATGGGGTCGATCGAGGCGATGCCAACAAAGGAAAATGCGACAGAGTAATCAGCGCATCACGCTCCCACAGCTTCGGACCCTTGTGAATGATGATTGCGGCCGACCCCAGAAGCCTCAATTGGCACCGGTGGGCGGTCAAGATTGGTGACTGCAAGGGGCTGAAAGTGGTGAAACGGGCACTGCAGAATGCCCAAGGCATGAACGGAAACACCGAGCATGGACCAGAAAAGAATTGGGTTTTGGGGGCCAGCGACCCTTCCATACTCCCGTGGGCTTGGCCCCTCATGAGTGCCAATTGTGGCTATCTATGGGAGGCCCAATTAGCACCTGTGGGCGACCAGGGCCGGCGCCCACAAGGGGCCTAAAGTGGAAATAACACTGAGTGCTATGGGAGCGCCCAAGGTGTGGGCACAAGCACCAAACGCTTTGAACAAAAGAAGGTTGTTTTGAAGGGCGAACAATGCTTCCCCACTCCTACAGTTTTAGCCCCTCATGTGTGCCAATTGTGGCCACCCCAAGGATACTTGATTGGCACCTATGGGAGGCTACGATCGGCGCACGCTTGGGCCGAAAGTGGCAATGGAAATGGGCGCCACGGGGCGCCCAAGGCGTGGGCACAAGCACCAAATGCGGTGCACAATAGGGGCAAAAGACGCTCCACTGCTCCCATGGCTTCCACCCCCGCCCCTGCACCATCTCACCTTCTCTTGCCACCCTTATGCAGCCCTACCTCCTTGAGCAAAGTTTGGTCTCAGTTGGCCTGTTGACCTCTAAATTAGATGCGGGGTGGGTGTGGGGGGGGTGGGGTGTGGGGTGTGGGGGGTGGGGGGTGGGGGTGGGGGGGTAGGAGCTCCCGACTCATACGCACCCACCACCCCCAGTGGGGGCACTACTCAGATGCCTCCCCTGACTCGCCACAACTCACTTGAGCCTCTGCAAACCTTCCCCAACGCCCCCTGCATGCCTCCCTTGCAACTATCTCTCTCCCCCAACTAATTCTGGGGCTCAGTTGCCAATTTGATCGTTAGTTGAGCCCCAACCATTGGGTCTAGTTGGCATTTCACGCCCCTTCCATGCCTCCCCAAAGTCTTCCCACTCTCTTAGTGCCTTTCACATGCCTTGTTGTGCTTCCTCATCTCTCCAGTTGGGGGCAACAATGAGCAAGCTGGGCAGACTCACAAATGTGGTTGAAGTACACTAGGACCCAACGTGCTGCATGGGTGCACATCATCAGATGTTCACTAGGTTCCAGCCCACCAAAAGCATATTGCATTTGCATGTGAGGCCCAAACAAAGCACCCATGGGAGTTCACTGAGTTGGATGTTCTATATACAAAGCATGCTGTGGCCATGCGCTCATTGCACGATGTTGTACCAATAGGACATGGCATCCCAACATCGGACAAACCATTGTATGCTGGAATCCCATTACAAAACATGCTGTAAAATGCCGTCGGCAGTGAGCACGTGCCACCAAATATCATTGGACTTGCTGTGGCGCCACTCTGTACCATTGGTGACATTAGCTTTGCCAATCTAGCAGCGAGTTGGGTGGATTAGCAACACTTTTACTAACTGTGCCATCCATAAGGTTTTCTGAAGTCACAAGCTGCAGCGGCATCTTATGGCATCGGTCTACACCACAGTAGCCATAAATTAACGGCCTGAAGTGCCAACCTCTAGTGGAAGTGGAACCTTGTGCAATTGCTTCGCACCACTTCCAACATGATGCAAAAAAACGCTTAAGCACACTACGCAATGTATGTGAAATGGTCCATTGCAAAAGAGTAGCACGAACACAACGTATCTTCGTTTTCCAAGGATGTAGCCACCCCACTGAGCACACTGGAATTCATGTTACAAAATTTCCACACAGTTCATTACATAATTTACTAGAATGTTATGTCGTTGCTGCTCAGGCGTACTCAACTAATTTGAATTGGTTGCGTAGATCACCCCTCACATGTCACACAACAGCTTGATAATATTACTATACAGCTGATGGCACATTGATTGCGCCTAGACTCTCATGCCAAGTATGTGTTCCATAACTTGTGCATATTTTTGCCATTATGTAAGGCAATTGAGGAATATCGGTGCCCTGTTGGTGATTGTTTTCCAATTCTCAGCTGTGAAGCAATAAGCATGAATGCGCAAGACTGCAGTTGCCTGGAATTTCTATATGCAATTTGCCACTCTGGTTGATATTGTGCCAAAGGGAGACAGAAACATACGGAACCTGGTGTCCAACACTACATTTGCTTCTGTTACAACAAGCTAATTCAGACAACTACCTACCTGGATACAAACAGCACCTCCAGCAGTTGCTGCATTGTGCGCAAGAGTGGAATCGCTTATTGTTGCATTTGACTCATCCTGTTCAAATTGCAAATGCAAAATTATTCAGACAATTTTCACACCTTGATATTCTCAACATTCTTCAATATATCGTGTACCAATATCCAATGCCCATGAGTGGATTGGCATATGGATCTTCGTGAATTCGTTGTTGTGCGATGTGCAAAGGACAATACACAAGCTAAGATTGGGCCAACGCACTCTCCACACTGAAATGTTGGCGGAGTGCTATAAAGAATCTAAGCGGCAGAGAATCCGCCATGAAGTGCTTATTAACAAAACTTGCTTGGACTCATGTGGCACAGGTCGGAAGACGCCACTCTAACAAACGTTGTCTGGTAAACGTAAGGCATGTGGTTTTCATCAAAGGAAGCAAAAATTGCACAGGCAAATAGGGCGGCGACTGACAAATATCATGCAAGCTAACGCAAGAGGGAATGCAACAACGGCTACACTGAGAAAGCTCATGGTTGTTGTGCCACCCTCACTGCCGTGTGCGCGCATGTCCATAAAATCAACTGTCTTTGTTCATGTGTCTGAGAGAAGTGCGAGGACAAGCACGGTTTCTGTGCCTGGGACCATTTGATTTGGCTGCAACGATCAATAACACCTGAGCCTCCATGGCACGCACATTTTTGCATGTCAATTCGCTGTTTGAAGCACAACCACAAATCCTGCAACCCAGGATGGCGATTGACACAGTAGGTAGCGGATACTGCAAGATGGTGGTATGTTCACATTGCTGTTGATACTGAATTAAAATGTACTCACAGAAGCACAGATTGCTCCCCCGTTGTCTGTGGCAGTGTTCCTCTCGTAGGTGCATGTATTGGAATGCAGGGACGAAGCGCTCTGTTCGGAAAATAAAGTGAACGGCCGTCATTTTGTAAGCAAGAAGGAAAAGTGCGAAATCTCCTCTTTCCCTTTTTCAGAAAATTTCTTTGTCTTTGGCATACGACACAATACACACATACCTCTGTGTCGGGGACCCTGGGCTATCGATTCATTAGAATATAGATGCTACCATTTGGACGACAGTTCTGTACTTTCGGCAAATGTGGTCCCGAAAGTACACAGTTGGATTTTGAACAGACCGTGTCAAGACTGTGTCATCTGGCCTCTTTTTTACTAGTGTTTCATATTCACGTTTACACTTTGCATTATGCGTTTTCACGTGCAAAAACGTAAAAGCACCGAGGGGGGTGTCTTCGTGGCTACATTTGCGCATGCTGGCAGCTTGTTGAGACACCCAGGTTGTGTGATGAAATCGCATGCAATGATGGCATCAGTCCTTCACTCCCTCAAGCACCCGCAACGCGTCGACCACCCTGCCCCTGGGAACGGGAACGACGCTGCCGAGCAAGAATATCACTTCGCGCCCACTCCATCGCGTGTGCCTATCTCTCAGGGATCCTTGATTCCTCATGTGCTGTCTTTATGTACACAGAGCCTGTGTTACGTATTTTTACAATTGATTGCCCATAAAAAGTGAAATGTACTTTTAGGCATAAATATGCAAGAAACACACCGTGTATCAACCGTAAGACCAATACTCACAATCAAAGGTTTTTGTGTCGTTCACATCTTCATTTATGTGCACTGGCTGTGGTCCACTACCGGCGAAAATACTGGCATCAAATTTCGAAAGGCAATGAAGGTCAGTCGGTGCCAGATCTGTGACAGCTTTCAATTCCCAATGGGCGTAGGTTGCAATCTCCAGCCCGACAACTAGCAAGCACGAATAGGTGAGACGGAAACCAGCTGCATTTGCAGTGCACGGTTCTGGTGGATGGCCAACTCAAGGAGAACAGGATCATTTGCAGCCTGACAGTTCTCAATCTTGCATTTACTTTTAGGACAGGAAGATTATCCAGAACCTTTCCTACCTGGACAAAAACAGCGCCTCCAGAAGATGATCCTCCAGAGAATACTGCATTGTGTGCAAGAGTGGAATTGTTTATTGTTGCAGTCGACTCGTCCTGTGGAACGTGCATGTACGAGATCAATAATTCATCCATACGCAAACACTCTCCAATATCTTGTGTGAAGGTTTTCGATGCTCAGGAGTCGATTAGCCTTTTGGTCTCCCTAGTTTTGTATCAATCCAATGCGGAAAAGATGACACACAGACAAGGCATAGCCAACGCGCTCTAACAACGACGGCTGGCGCAGTGCTTGTGAAGAATTGGGGCGACAGACATCCGGTCAAATCAAGGAGAATACGGTCATTCGCAACCTGGCATCGCTCGACTCTGCATTTGCTTTTCTGACTGAAATATCACCCAGGCACCTTCTCACCTGAACAAAAACAGCGCCTCCAAAGGATGCTGCGTTGTGCGCAAGACTGGAACTGGCTATAGTCGCAGTCGACTCGTCCTGTCAAATGCGCCCATACAGAGTCGATCGTGCATCTTTAACAAAACAGTTATTGGCATCCTTCAATATCTCATGTGTGCATTCCAATTTCCCTGGGTGGCCTTTTGGAGTCCTTGATTTCATCATGAGGCAATGCGCAGAAGACAATACACAAAGCAAGCATGGGCCAACATGCTCACTGCATTGAAGTCACTATCAGAAAACGCCGTGTTTGCGACGCCAGCAGCGATGCCATTTTGACACAAATTGACGCCATCACAGTGATTGCGATGGCACAAAAGTGGCTGTGATGGCATCAATTAGTGGCAAACGGCATCACAGTTGGCATCGCCAAAATGTCGATTTCTGCAGGTGAGTGTGGTATGGTCCCTGTGAAAAAAAACAAGGTGACATGAATCCGTCACGAAATGTCTGCTCACAAAATTCACTGGGACCAGGCCGACGCACTGCAAGAGTGATAACACTAGCCAACGAGTACTTTTCCGACTAGGGCCATAGACAACGATTTTCGAACGCTGTTGCTGTGATGGGAGCAGTGTCAATAGGCTCCGAAATTCTACCGGCGCACAAAAAGGCGACGACCATTATCCCAACCATGCGATGGACGATTAGAGAATAGCTCTGGGAGAGGAATCACAAACATGACATGGCAAAATTTTGAAAGAACTCGAGAAAAATGGTGTACTTCATGGATGAGGATGTGTTGCAAAAAGCAAAACAGGTGCCCTTGGTTGCCACAATACAGACTATTTTTCGGAGCTCGTAATTAACCGTGGATCTTGAATCAAGCAGTGCATGAAATTCTATTATCGGCAGCTATTAGAAGATGCACTTTCACGCAAGGATACTGTGCAACACTGAACTGAGACCTCGGAGAGATTTCGGGATACAAGTGAGATCATTCAACTTCTTGCACTTAGGCTTTCTCTACTTGCACCAGACCTGTGCATTAGAGATCAACGTTTCCAGGGACTGGCCAAAATTGATGGGTTGATCGATCTGGCAGGGCAAGCGCTGCTCCATGCGATGGATTACCCACCCTCAGCCCCCAAACCCTGGCATGCACACTTGTTTCGAATCGGTGGCATGGATCACACACTACACGGCCTGCAACATTTTGAGCAACATGCTACAAGTGGTTCTCAGTGTTTGCGTTCGAATTTTTGCAAGGAGATATTTTGGGGGCTATATTCACTCACTTTAAAAATTCATTGGAAATACCTCGCCCTCGGCAAGGGCAGCAATGTTGTCAGACAAAACATCATCTGCTGTCCACTCCAGTGCGCCTGGCTGTCACTTGCCAGACTTCCTGAGTCTATGTGCACTATCTTTATGTACAAAGGCCTCGTGTTTAGATGGTTATATTCACTTTCGCATGAAAACAACATGCACGCTAGTTTTATGCATGAACATCCACAAGCACGCTCCCTTATTGCCACAAAGATCAACCATGGTTACGAAGAAGACTGATTAATTGTTCACGCCTTCGTCCACATGCATTGGACGAGCCCCACAACATCAACACTAAGCCTTTTGCATATGTCTGGAAGACAATTAAGGGCAATCATTACTGCATCTGCGACAGTTTTCCGATTCCCAACTACCATACAGAAAGCGTGAATGGGCGGGACTACGACCACCTTCATTTGCAGAGCACTATTTGGAGGGATGGTCAACTCAAGCAGAAAGGGATCATTGGCAAACTGGCGGCCTTCGATGATGATTTTATTTTGTAACCAAAGTTTGATCCAAACACTTGCCTACCTCGGCGTAAATGGCACCTCCAAAACCGGAAGCTGTATTGTGTGCAAGAGTGCAATTCCCCATTGTTGCAGTCGATTCATCCTGTTGAATGGGTGTGTGCAAAATCAGCAATGCAATAATAGGGAAATGGTGCTTGATGCTTTGCAATATTCTGTGTGCCAGTCTTCAATGTTCATGAGTGGATTGGGTTCTTGGGCTCCCCTGGTATCGTCATAATGCAATGCAGAAAAGACCAAACACACACCATATGCGATACCATACACCCTTTACATTGAAAGCTGGCACAGTGCTTGTGACGAATCGAGGTGAAGAAAAATCATTCATGAATTGTATTTTCAGAAACTTTGTTGGGACCTACGTGCTGGAATACAAGAATGATGAAACTAACTGGAGATGTGGTGCATGTTTAGGATGAGGTCGTGTAACTAAAATAATGTATGATTCCTAGTCTGCAAAGATACGGATCGTCTTTGCAGAGGTTTGGAACTAGCAGTGCATCATGAACAAAGCACTTCACAAAAATGTCAGTTCAAGATAGCATACCCTGAGAAAGGGTACGATGTAATCTTGAGACCTCGAACAGGGTTAGGATGTAATTAGCAACCGATCATCCCCATTTTGCACTCATGTTTTCTTTGTTCACTGCAGGCCTGTGCATTGGGGGTTGAGGACTCTGGAGAGCTAGAGCCATTGATGATGTGACAATGGCCCACAAGAACAGAGATGTATGGTCAGTTGATCTGGCAGTACAGGCACTGTTCCACATGATGGATGCTACCCTTTGCTCCTACAGTTTCCCTTTTCTGTGTGCAACGACAGGCGGAATCTCAAAGAGTGGCAATCCCCACTGGACATAAAATGCAAGCGCCCATAATTCGGAGCAAGAAAATGGAGTTTTGAGGCTTCTGCAGGGGGTTATTACTGTTTCTATACTCAGAATTGGTAGCCATGAATTCCAACAAACTTTTCAATGTTGACCTCGTTTGGCATGTAGAAGCCATATTTTCAACAAAGCATGTCTCAGAAATGGATGGCAAGCTAGCTGCAATGTAAAAAGCAATATTGCACAGGACACAAGTGACTGCAATGCAAGAGGGTCAGCATGTCTTAAATTTCAGGTAGCCTGACACAAGATGCAGCAATCGCAGTACTGAGAAATCTGACAGCTATTATGCTTTTCTGCATTGCTGCCTGCTTGTAAATTCAGAAGAACACATCGTCAGGACAATGTGCTTGAGAAAAAGCGGACACACATGTGTGCGTTGTGTGTTTTGGTTCATGTGACTTGACTGCCGCAGTAACTCACACTTTAAGCCCTCGTGACACACACCACTGTGCATGGATTCCATGTTTAACAGACACAAAGCCTCACATTGTGCAATTAGAAATAACGAGTGATCAAAGGAAATAAGAGTGGGCGTGGAAAGTATCCAATTGTTTTTATATTGTAGCCGATGCTTCTAGCCAATGCACTCACAAACACGATGATTGCTCCCCCGTTGCCTATAGCGGTGTTGTCTTCGTAGGTGCACATATTGGACCACATGGATGAAGAGCTCTATTTGAATACAAAACGGACTGTGCTTAATCAGTGGAACAAAACCAGCTCAGCAAATCCAAATGCACCAAACACATTTTCTGTCATTTTCAAAATGGTTTGAGCGTCTCTGCCTTAGGTGCACAATATTGCTTCCTCTGTTGAAGATGAACTGTCGTCCATGAGTTTGGGGCATCATTTCTCAACCGTATTGACAACATTTTTTCAATAAATTTCTCCCACAGTTGTGATTATGCGTTTGAAGTATTTGTCCAAATTTCAGGTCATTCCAATAAATTTTGAGGACTTGGCAGTGCTGTGCAGCAAGAACCCTCTCACCAGAGAACGGCCTGTTTTCGACATGGCAGTGGAAATAGCCGTTTTTGCCATCTTTGAGGACCGCATATATTTGCGGCAGTTAAACATAGCCGCACATAAAAGACTATCCGAAAGCAAAGTTTGCAAGGTGCTTGCAGAGAGGTACGGCAGTACAAAACGCGTCTTAAAAGTGCTGATTGTCAAAATCGTCATGGTTTATGGCTGGCATTTCAAGCTCAAGCCAGCAGATTGGGGCTATGCTCCGGGCTCAGAATTCTGGGCCAGGACTTTGCTGCCTTCATTGCTACCACTAGGTCAAACGCAGGAGGACTTCGAATCCTCTCAACAACGAAACGGTCATCGCCCCAATCAATAATGGACAAGTAGTGAACTGCTCATTCTGATGGCAATTGTGAAAAGGCTTTTTTTTAGACACTTGAAAGGATTTGGGGCCAGGAGAATAAGTAAAAGGTTAAGCCATGTCTTTTCAAGTACTCAGGAATCAACGAGGCTGTTGTGGACTCTGTGCTGGGTGCAATGATTGTTTGTTGGGGCATGATCTCTGGATATTAAGCCAAGCTGTACAGGGCAGCCTCGATCCAAGCATCAATCAAGGTAGAGTGTCAAACCAGGGCTATAAAACAATCCTGGAGAGATATCCTGCACTCAACCCAGCCTCCAATGTCTTGTGACTCGTTTTTCTTGCTCATTAAGGAATTGCACACCAGAGATTTAGAACATCACGAATTTTCAGCATCGTCGTTTTCATGACAATGACCAGACTCAAGAAGGATCCAGGCATGGTCGAATGGGTTTGCCAAGAGCTATGCCACGTGCTAGATGCCCCCTTGTGTATGGCAGTGGCAGCGACTGGCGTTGCTGCTTGCAAGCACGACTGTGGCCCAGAATTGAAGGGGCATTTGGGAACATGGATTCTGGACTGACCCAGGGCAACTTGCAGAGGCTGATCATTAGGGGAGGGCTTAAATTTTTCTTTCAAATTAAACCTAAGGGGCTTGAGACTTGGTATTTCCCATTTTGGCTTCTCTTTCTAATTCATATGTATTTTTCATACTGACATTTCTCATCCAAACAGTTGACAATTATCTTGGGAGAAGGATATACATGAAGCTCTCTGCTGGCAAAAGGGCAATCTTGACAAGTTGCATTCTGGTTCCACAAGAAGTCCAGCATCCAAATTTGCTTTACATAATTATATCATGCAATCTCCCACCATCTTGGCAACATTTTCCGTGGGGTGGATCTCATATTTGAGTTTGATGTGCTGGTCACAGACCCAACAGTGGATGATGATTTAGGCAATTGGTTACACAGAAGATGGACACATTGCTCACATCTTTACCCAAGCACATCGTACATGGCCCATAGCTTGAGCAAGCATCTTACATCCATCTGGAAGCCAATTAGGGACAATCTGCACCAGATCTCTGGCTGTTTCTGTTTGCACCTAACAAAAAGCAAGCATGAAAAGGCAAGGCTACAGGCCATTGTTTTGCAGTCCACCACTCTGGTCGATTTTCCACTCCAGAAAGTCCACTGCATCATTTACAACGTGGAAGCATTCAGTGCCACATTTGCTTCTTGGATAGAAGCGATCCAGGCACCTTCCTACCTGGACATAAACAGCACCTCCACTGGAAGCCGTGTTGTGTGCAAGAGTCGAATTGCCTATATTGGCAGTGGACTTGTCCTGTTGAATGCACATTTGCCTAATCAATAGCACATCGGTAGTGAAAATTTTCTTGATATTCTTCAACATCTCAAGTGTGCCTTTTCAATTGATGTGAGTGGACTTGCATTTGCCTTCCTTTGTTTCCATTGCAAGGCAACGCGGAAAAGACAAAACACAGACCCAGTATGGGCCCATGCACCTTTTGCATTCAAGGTTGGTGTGGCCCCTGTGAAGACCCAAGGTGACATGGAAATCTGTTGCAACACAACTGCTCATATAATCTGCTGGAACTTTTGTACCACAATGCAAGAGCAATCAGACTAAATGCCCTTTAGAGCAAGCAAAGGCACCTCAGAAGGCTTTGCAGGGGGTGGGTATGATTGATTTGTCTCCAAAACTGGTAGGCACAATCTTGGAACCCAATCTCTCCAGATTCCAGCCTTGCTTAGAGCTCACTTGCTATGCTTCTAAGGAGCTTTGTCTGGCAAATGGATGGCAGGTGATTTTTGGTTAGGAAACAAGATTCCTGGGGATCCTAATTACTGCAATGTGAGTGGGGTGGTATGTGATAAGTGTCAGACAGCCTAACACAGGATGGAATATGATAATTGCTTAGCTGAAAAAAAACATGGTCATTGTGGCAGTCACACTGCTGTGCTTGCATTCAAAATCAATCAAATAAAATTCTCCAAAATGGACCCAATGACATCTACCAGAATTGTGTTTCCAATGCCCACTACTGCTCAGGGGACTTGGATGCTGGCACCTGCTTTGCTCAAAACACAGAATTGGGATTGGTGACATGTGTCTGACACTTGTGCAGGTTACCCTTATGCACTAGGTAGGGATATGCTGTCCAACAGTGGGATAACACGTGTTTGTCTTGTTTGTGGTTTCAACCTGCGGTTTTACATCATTTGGTTATAACAGCGCTTACATTAAGATCACCTCACAGTTGCAAGTGCCTTTTCTTGATCACGGATATGTCTGCATGTTGGACATATATGCTCCTTATAAGGTTTACCTAGTTAGAGACATATCAAACTTATAAAATAATCCCATATAGCCATCAGACATTGTTCATTCTTTGCTTGCCTGTAGATAGATAGCACCTCCGATGGTGGCATTGTTCTGTGCAAAGGTGCAATTGTTCATCGAAAGTTGCGCACCCTCCTGCTCATTATGCACACATGGCCTGTGAATTCCTATCCATGTTCTTAACACATTGCATAAAATTAACGAAATGCTGTAATCCCAATGTTGTTCAATTGAACTCCTTGACTAAAGCGCATTGTTGCTTAATGTCATGTTCAATGTTCAATCCTTGTGTCGACCAATTGCAAGTGCAATTGTGGTGGCACACTATGGCTTCAGAAAACGTATCAACCTGCTTTCAGATCGAAGATATACTATGGCAATGTTGGGAAAAAGAAACATAACTCATGTACTCCACATCTGGGAGCATTGTGTCGAGTATCAGTAATGTAGTTGCCTGTTATCAAAGGCTGGAAACGAAAAAAAGTCAAAACTGAAGGTAACACGGACAAGGGACACTTTGCCAGCCAAACGTGCCCACACCAGGAGCCCACCTTTATGTTGTGTTCCTCAATTTGTGATGCAATTCCATCTGAAAGTTATTTTGCAGGTTCAAAAGGGCATGGGAGATTTTCAACACATTCTAGACACTGCATGTCACTGCCATGACGCGATTAACACAACTACCAGCAGATTTGGCTTTGGAGAGGGCTGGAGATACAGCTCCAGCAACATGGTGCAGGGCACATAAACTTGCTGAAGCAGCAAGAACAGTGTGTGATACACCAACAGTACTAACTTGTGAGTGAGGCGGGGGCAGCAACAATGGCATTTCTACTCCTTGTTGTAACAGCGTTTACAGATTGTTTGAGTTGGAGCCAAGTCTGCACAACAATGCTTGGGCTCTGGCAGCTTGAGCATCCAGAACCCAAGATTCTCCAAGATCTTGAGCAGCGGAATTTCTAGATGAGCAATCATGCTGCTTCAATAATAGGAACTCCAAATTTTCCATTATGTCACTCCATTGTTTGTATCAAATTTCCTCCATCTGGAACTGAATGCATAAATTGTTTGACAACCATACAATATTACATGCTTGCCAAATTTTCCTAAAAATGTGGTCACAATGCTACATGCAAGAGCACTGAATGATGCTAGAAAATTTGGGCAGAGACCAAAGGAATACAACAGAGTTGGCAGGTCAGCAAATAACAATGCTCTGAAAGAGAATTTGGGCCTTATCACTGTCTGCAAGCCCAACCCCAAATAGGCATCTGCATTTTGGCATGCCCAATGATTGAACACAGCTTCCCCCCCCCCCTACCCCCCTTTTTGACTTCCACAGCACCTGGAAGGTAGCGCTTCCAATCCACTCAGATGCTAGCCCAACAGTGATAGAGGAGTGTCAAAGCTTCAAAGAGGGTTAGACTCTTGCATTGTAGTGAGGCATGGGCGTATGGCAACAAGATGAAAATGGGATTGTGCATAGTAAGTTCGAAATTTCAAAACAGAAATGCAAATGTCTGCTTTTTCAAAATGAAAACATGCTGCACATTCACAGTCCTGAAATGGAGACATCAGTACGCCCAGCACATAAAGTTTTGAAAAATGGAAGCATGAAAGTTCATCCCGCATCAGAGTCACAAAATTGCAATTGTGTGACGACAACGCCACGGAAGTGGGAGCCAATTGCCAACTCCCCTGCTCCCAACCTCAGCCCCTCATATGCACCAATTGCAGCCACTTCTGTGCCTTAAAAACTACCTACAGGTGGCCACAGCTGGCACTGACACAAACCTAAACTTTGCACTTCAATGTGACGATGGAAATGTGAACATCAGGAACCCCAATAAACAAGTGCATATCCCAGATGCAACTCAAAACGCAGCAGTGATGGGAGCTGATTTTCACATACAGATTCGTTTATTGTAGCCAAGCCTGGCCTTTCAAAGTTTTGAAAATCCCTGGATATTTAACATCCCATTCAATTTCAGCTGAGGAAGAAAGCATGCCAATTAATGTGCCATTGCAGTGCAGCGGTGCATCAGCTGGCATGTTCTGTCCCAGTGCAGCGACTGCATCTGTGATGAAGAAATAAATGTCTGCTGAACTAGAATACATCAGCAAATGCTATCTGAACAGACATTGTGCTCCGGCTACAAAAAGGCAAGTAGAGATTTGCCACACGCTTGGCATTTCAAAACAGCAAGTTCAGTATGTCCAGAAATTTAAAAATCAAAATACGAACTGGTGCGGTATGCCTGGTTTTAATAATGGAACGTAAATGCATGCCTTGCATTTGGATTCTCAAAATGTGAGCACAAACTAGTGATTCACGTTGCATTCATGTCCAAGGCCAAAGCGAAAAATACAATGCAAAAACAGGGTAGTTTGTGCCCACCACTGGGTTGGCACCATGCTTGATGGCAAAGAAGATCAACTTGCAAAAAAATCTGTGTATTCTCAGGTTGTCTGCAATGGAGACCTGGACAGGGCCGGTTCTGCATCAATGCAAGCTCTGCTTGGGGGTAGTGGGTGAATGGACACTGTGCAGGCAACAGATCTGATTGGAAAAATCACCCACACAAGACTTGATCAACACTGTCTACTAGATGCAGCGATGGGGACCTGTCTCCTTGAGTGACCCTCAGTGCCAGTATGCGGCTTGTTGTGTGCCAGCACCGGCCTGTCAAAATGGAGAGCCGCAAATTTGCAGCTTGGGAATGCGAAAGCATGGCAATGGACAGCCCTACGCTATTTTTCAGCATAGGTTGTGAGGGTAGCAGAGCTACAAAATGCAAGGGTGCATATGGAGTTGGAGCAAAAATTGTGGGAAAAAGCACTGAGGGCTAAGGAAATGAAAGAAAACAGCATTTGGAGCTGCAGCACATTCCCATCAAGAAGAAGCACAAGTCAAGAGAACAGCCTGTGCTGTGTGTTTTTGGGAACACGATCTCATCTGATTGTCTGTTTTCAAGGTTGAAAGTGCAGGCTAATTATTGCAGTGCTTTTGACAGATGGCTTGCAGCACAAGCTACACGTCCCAAAAATGGCACATGCATACTGTGGCTGTGAGTTTGTAGTGCACTGATTTGGCCATCAAGGCATTGCACGTGCAATGGCAGAGCTTGCAAATTTGGGTGCAGTGCATAAAATGCTCTTTAGATGTCATTTTGCCAAATATAAGAATGGTAGATGCATGCATACGCATGAACTGAATGAGCATGGGTACAGAAGCAATGCACGGGTTTGCATGATAACTGTCTCTTCTCTACCTGTGCAAGGATGGCCCCACCACCATTCTTGGATGTTCCACCATTGTTGTCGGCAGCCACATTGCCTGTGAAGTTGCAGCCACTAATGTTCAACTCTGCATTCCGCATGCTGATAGCACCACCTTTTGCTGAGCCACTGTTGGCTTCAAAATTTGCATTGCCAATTGAAACTCTGGCACCAATTCCAATGCCCAGTGCAGCACCAGAGCCACCTGCGTTTTCTGTAAACACAGAATTTTCCAACTGCAGATGGCACCCTTGCAATACACCAATGGCTGCTGTCCCATTGACATTTTTGTTTCCCCTGAATTGAAGTTTATCCATTCTGACAGGAAGATCTTGAGGACCGCAGTTGGATATCAGTACCAGGGGATCACCCTCTGTCAACTGACAGTTGGTGAAAGTCATGCCAGTCAGCATCACTGCTTCTGACCTGTAGAAAAGCAAAATGCAAACTAAATGTGGATATGATACCAATTAAAACTAATATCACTGATGCAAAATGGCTAATATGGGCATACGTGTTTCAGAAAATGAACAGCATTATTGCTGTAAGCATTGTCAAAACGTGGCATAGTTCAGAATTGTCATGCATTCCCATCATTTTGATTGATTCAATTTAACATAACATTTTCTACAGACACCTATATGTGGTGAATGATTGCTGGCAATGAAACATCAGCCTAAAACTGTTCCAAGATTCCAACTATGCCCAAAAGTATTTGCAACCAATCCTTTCTCTTGCTTCTCCAGAATTGGTAAACTTTGTAAGGTATAGTTATTTCAACATGTCAAGTAGTCTGCTCATTCCTGTGCTATTCTCTCAAGGCCAATATCTGCTGCTGTTCCATGTCGTTGCCAATGAAGTGTACAATTCCACTGCTATCTGTGTTCTCTGGTATTGACAGTCAAATATCTTTCCTGGAGCCTTTCAATAATTGGACAAAGGTGAAAGGCTGTGTCCCAAGGGCAGCAAAGAACACAACCCACCGGATGTCAAAGACTGTTCCACCAGATGGGCAAGCAAAATTCACTTGAGACCCATCTGCCCCTTTCAGTATCAAAGGCTTGGTGACTGTTATTGTAGACACAGTCTTCACACGTTGCATACCAAAGACGATGGTGTCATTGGGCAGGGAACAGTCCACAAAGAACTGAACATCGTCGCCAGTCAGTGCAAGAGCCTCTTCTGTGACAAAGATGGTCTCTTGGGATGTTGTTCCATTTCTGTATAACCCACATGTAGGGCGGGCTCCTTCATCTAAGAACACATAAACATAACTCACAAGAAGAAGAGCAGCCAACGTCCCTTGCGTATAGAGATACGCACAAGGATGAACATGAAAGGGTGTGGGAAACATGTATAATTGACCAGTTGGCCAAGGGGATGATGCGTATGCACACAAGGGTCAAGTAAAGGAACACATACTATCCAGTACCAAAAACAAAGGCATCTTTTAAATTGAATTAATTAATTTGATGGCCACCTTGACATGGCTGGTACACAGATTGCAGTATACTAGAAGCGCTAGGGTGTGGGCATGACTGGCCATCCACTCTTCATTGAAAGCAATGCCCGAAGTGGCTCTGTGACTGCAGCTGTGACTGGGTGGCTGCCAGATATTGCAGAAAGAAATTATTTATTGCTACATGTATGTTGCACTGGCATATGTGTGAATTCCATTTATCAATAGCACAGGCAATATGCTTGTTTGCAGGTTGGAGTACATTGCAATGCACTGCATCTGACCTTGCCCCAGGGTGTAGGGAATGATGGCAGGCAAAAGTACACTCAACAGAAGAACGACCATGTGCCTCCTGCCAAGCATGGTGCCTACCACAAAA